GGGGAGCTGGAAGATTAAGGGTTTAGTTTGGATTAGGAGTACAATGGAAAGTCTTTTCGATTGATCGATCGGTCAAAATATATCGATAATGCACAGTCCTTCCACAACAGGGACTGTGGATAATGTTATAACCCACGAGTACATAGTTAGTTTAATCGCACCTACCGTTAACCGACCACATGAGAAAGATTACACAGACTGAATCATACCGGAACATAGCTCAAATTGTGATTGGAATTGATCCAAGCAAGATATTGAACAATATAGACGTCAGTTTTTAAGCGTACCCCGAATCTTGCTAAACCGACAGTTACAACTCGTCTTGTTACAGGTGTCAGTCCAAATGGAGGCTCCTTATTATCACAATTACCTGACTCTGAACTACCCCGCACAGGTCACGTTCCAATATGGCGGCTATGTGTTAAGTCCTGATCACGTTAAGTGTTTGATAGTTGACTGTATGTGACTTGTTTTTACGGTAAATTAACAAACTATGGTATTATATTCATGTATTAACTGACATATCAGTCGGGGAAAAACAGTTGCATTTCGCGTTGTGATACAGAGATACCTGACGTGTGTCCTTTTGTAAATAGGTCACTTCATGACCTCGCTTTGCGTGCGAATGATCTAGAAAAATGGTTAAGCTTGACTGTCGCTAGACAACTAGATTGCGATGGATAAGCGGATAACAAGAAGACATATAAGAGGTGTTTGGAAAAATAAGGATAGCTCATGCCACTCGTACCACGACAACTGAAACCAAGGTTCCAAAACAAGAAGACCTGGTACACTACTAGGAGGGGAGGCAATGGGGGTAGCTGGTACGGTTTTACGGGAAATAAAAAGGGCTTTTTACAATTTACAAGGAAAAAAAGACGTTTTTACAGTTTACAGTATTAAAAAAATGGAACATTGAATGGTCCGAAGAGCTCTCCGACTCAAATTCTCCGCCATTGCTGCGCCGTGTGTAGAGACGCATGCGCATATTACCCTCGTAATGCTCTTCATTCGGTTAGAGGGCCTTTTACGTCTTGACATTTAAGTTTTGTAGTAAATTGTGTCATCTAGTCGTTTTGCAGTTTCTAAAATGTAATTTCCCTGGATTATTCTTTACGATTTTTTTTATTTGGATGTAAATTCTTGTACGTACAGTGTACGAAAAAAATATTTTTTTCATTTACGTTGTACGAACAAAAAAATATTGCAATTACGTTGAACGAAAATAACCCTTGCCCCCCCCCTCTACCAGAATTCTAAATTGGCACATGCTTGATCAAAGCCCCCTTAGCAAAGAAATGATTTGAATTGCACAAAACGCAAAGAGCAAGATGCATTGTTCCAATAAATCGATAACCACTGCCTATACCAATAGGCACCAAAAGGCCTGGCTTCAGTACTCACACAAACGCCAATTACTTTAGAAATTCTTTTTATATCTGACAACCCAATTGCAATGAACGTGTGAGTGAGATTAATGGCTATTTTCCTAAATCCTACGTTGTGTTTATATGTAAACTAGATTACTCTACTATTTATTTGCAATGGGTAATAATTATATGCTTTTATCATACAACAGGTACTGAATATTTTGAATATTGTGCCAAAATGTGTACACTGATATAATTCATTTTGACAAGGCAATAAGTCCATTTGTATAGGAAATATGATGTGACGAAATTACATAATAATGTCGAATATATATTCAATTCGCTACTTATTATAATAATATCATCTTCGGTACCAAAATGAATATACTTTAACGATATTTTATTCTCACTTATGTTTGTGTAATTGAAAAAAATAAAATGAAAAAATTGAATAAAATGAAAAAGTGAATAAAACATTTAAAGCTTATATTCAACAGAGGTGTGAAGCAAATCCAAAAAAATTAGCAGAATATAGATGAAAATACATGTTTTATTATAAAATTCATTTTGATAGTATCAGTCATTTTCATTGTAATGGGGC